GAGTTCATTCATGTTGCCTCATGCCACTGGTGCAAGCAAAGGTTTACGTGCTTTGGCTTACAACATCGCCTGCAATCTCTCCGAGACAGGAGCCTGGTGTGTAATTGTTTCCAAGTAAACAACCTTGCATTCCCAAAGTCACTGTGTAAATAATAATCAGTTGGAAATCACCTGGGAGTCTGCGTATCTGCTTAACTTAGCTCACTGAGTCTGGCCTGTGTACTGAGGCACAGGCTTTTGACAGGGCAGAGTATTTCAATTTGACTGCGAGAGATATGGGGGAAGCTCTGACCAACTGCAAAATTAAATAGCTTCTCTTGCTGTTGAAAACTATGTATTTCAATTGGACTAAAATATATATTAAAATGTATACCATATATATTGAAAGATAAATCTTCTGTAGCCAATTCTGAAGTAGACTCCTTGGGTGTCTATCAAAGATCCACTCATATTTTGAACAAAGGAGCCAGGACTACAGAAATCATAGATACTTGAGTTCCAACAGACAGTACGGTTTTATTTCCCATCCCATGTGCAAAAGGAGATGGAAGGAGCAACCTCTTCCCAGCACCAAAGCACAAATCACTTTTTGGCAGCGCTCACAGCAGCATTACAAGCACAGCCTGGCACGGGGAATGCAAAGCTCCTGAACTATACAAGGCTAGAGAAAAGCTGTGATGTGGCACACCCAGGGCACTTCTTGAGCACAGGGGGAGCTTCTGTGTCAGTTACTTCTTCTGGCTGGCCGGCCACTTGCAAGCCTGCTTGGTCTGATGGGACTTGATGTCAGGAACGACCACGGGGCACTTTTGCTGCACAGACTGGGAAGGCCCAGTGCCTCCAGAGCTGATCTCTGGGCCTGAAGATTCTCCAGTGCCGTAGCCTGATCCTCCACCACAGTACCCTGATCCACTGCTGTCCCCACTCATTATTATGGACTTGTCTCTTGATGATGCATCACACCCATAGCTGGAGCCTCTTCTTGTGCCGTAGCCCAATCTCCCACTGTAGGAGCTGGACACTCCACCACCCCCCGAGCTGACAATATGGCCCGAGTCCTCAATGCTGTACCTTGGTCCTCCCCCTGTGCTGCAGACTGATCCCCTTGCAGTGCCCCATGCAGATGACCCCCCGCTGTCTAGTACAACAGATCTGTCACCACCACATCTGTATTCCTCTCCAGTGCCATAGGTGGAAGACTCTAGCATGGAGTGGCAGGGTGAAATTCCCCTGCTGTAGGCGACTGAGCCTTCCCCACCACAGAAGAAAGAGCCATGTCCCTGGAGGCTTGACACGCCCCCGCTGCTGCCATAGTCTTCTCCATGATGCGATGAGATCTCATGGCTGTAGCCCCTGTTCCGGCGAGGACATCTCCTTCTGAGGTACTGGTATATCTGGAAGAGGAAAATGTTCTCACAGCTCGCAAGTACAGAAGACACTGCCATGTTTTGTTCCATTTTTGTACCACAGCAGGAGGGGAGACTGCAGTCAGCATGGTCACAGAGGCTTTGTCAGGACCTGAGGGAATCCCTGATTGAGAACCAGGGCACTGCCCAGCTGTTCTTCAACTACAGGAATATTACTGACTGCTGCTGGGATAGTTTTTCTGGTTTTTCATCTGTATGGTGTAGTTCTGGAGAATCAACATCTGAATACATTCTTTCCTGTTAACATATCTAATAACTGCTAAGGTTCTCCCTGCTCCATCATCTTGGCTGTAGCTGCAGAGTTGTAAAAATAGCAAAGATTATCCTTGTTTATGTTCTTAAAGTGCTGCAAGAGCAGTGGAGCAAAACTTCCATATGAGACAATGTTACTGGCTGTATGAATGCAACATGTCGCAACATAGTATCCCCGACGAGCTTTTAGATAAGTTAATCAGCACAGCCATGAGAAATATGTAGTCATTACGAAGTACGGTATAGACTTGTTATTGAATAATATGGAAAATGTGTCCAAGACTTTGCAAGCAAGCTCGAAGCTGCAAAGAAAATGCCATCATCATGTGCTGGTTCCACTACAGACTCATCTGGGTTTGTAGCCTCCTAAAGTACATGGCCCCTAGCACTGTAACCTGCCTTTCCCTTGCTTCTAAGCCATCTGAGTGAGGGAGTGTAATAAAGCCTGCCCTGCATCACAGCAAGAAACCATACAGATCCCGAGAACTTTGCTATAGATACTCAGTCAGCATGGGTACTGCTTTAGACCCCATACCAAGATCTAAGAATGAAGTTATCACCTATGACTACATAATAATAAAGCCTCAAAAAAGCAGACTTACCCTCCTCAGCCATTGGAAACACATTTAGAAGATAAAAGTCAACTGAACGAGGAGGTTTAACACACAGGAACTTTTATATGGTACCTAGCATATATGGGAAGTGAGACACACTAAGGAATGGCAATGATTTATTTACTAAACTGATTTAAATGCTTGCTTTGACTCATGACTTCTGATCGATATCTTCACATTGCTTTTTGCATTGCATGCAGCTGTAATTGCTACTTCTGCTTAATGATCCTATTCCTGTGGTCTTGTTCTTAGCTACAGGGGACCATTCCGGCCCACAGAGCCGGCTCACAGAGCTACACTAGGGGCCAGAGCTGCTTTTGAGCGGCTGAAGAACATGGTGCAAACGTGGGTGCAGGGAAATGCCAGGCAAGAGGATTAGTGAGTGTGGGGCGGAGGGTGGCTGTGACTGAGTCCTGCTCCAGGAAGGGACAGGGAGCGGAGCAAGGCTGTGGTTCAGCGGTATGGCAATGCTTGTGGCCAGGGGCATCGCTGCGGGGTGGCGTTCTCAGTGGGTACCCACGAAAGGGAAAGGCAGAGGCTCAGAAAGCACCAAGGGGCAGGTGTGGGGGAACCTGGGCAACCACAGGCTGGTAGCAGCACGTTGACCCCATCAATATCTCACTGGTGGCTCTGATGGGAAATTTTCTGATGAAGACATTTGCACCCAAACCAGAGGGCTGTCAAAAGCAAAGTGCCTGGCTTGGCTGCTTTGTGAGGGATGCTGCCTGCACATGTGCTACAGATGCCCTGAGAAAGCTAGGGACCCCTGAAGAGAATCATGGAGGTGAACGTCCTTAAATCCACTCACGGCTGGATTACTCTGCTAAAGAAGGGACAATTGTTTTTGTTAGCCAAATGCTTTCCTTCTGCGTTTTCCTACGCTACCTATGTCCTTCCTCTGACTTGGAAAGACCACCAAGTACCAGGGAGACTTGTTTAGATGGCTGCTGGGGCAGAAAGCACTGCGGCCATGCTGCTAACGCTGCCTGAGAAGACACCTGCACCCCAGCCTGGCATATTACAGCTCAGCTCGACAGCACGGCTCTTGCTGGCTGGACTACGGCAGCTCAGCTCTGAGCAATTTTGCTGTGGGGACGCTAAGTCGCAGCTTTGGCAGAAGGCCACATATACCAGCCACCAAGCAGAGCAAAGTGGTGCTGCTACCACCCCCAGTGGGTTGTTTCGAGGCGGGTTACAAGAGCTTGGGCAACAAGGGATAAAGTCCTGAAGGTCTGATTTGGTATCTATTGAGTTGCCTCAGGGCAATCTCGCTGCTGGTTTTATTTCCTTCTGCCTGGCCCAGGGCCGGTTTGGTTGACCCAGTGCGGGAGATTTAACTTCTTGAAAGGGCTGCTCTGAGGTTCTCAAAGGCAGGAGGGAAGCAAGAGGGTAAAGATGTAAGCGATGGCATCTCTCTTGGCCGTAAACAGCAGGGTTTCGGGTAGCAGCACCCTGTGAGGAGAAGAAGCCGCCAGCAGCCCTGTGCCGCTCCCAGCCGGTCCCAGCCGGTTCTGTAACGGCCGAAAGCGGGGGGCAAA